TCTTATAGTTCGATTCAAGAATTCGAATAATATAATTTTTATTTAATTTGAATAAATATATCTTGAGTTATTAATATATTTTCATTTAAATTTTAATAATTTTACTAATTTTGATATCAAAAACCTCAAATTTTTTTTGGAAGAGTAGTGATAATCGAAGGGGGCTAGGGCTAGGGGAATGATAATGGGAGAGTAATGATAATCGAGGGGGGCTAGAGCTAGGGCAATGATAATAGTGATAATTGAGGGGGGCTAGGATGATATGATGACTAATCGAAAATCGACAACGAAATGAATGAATTTAACTGATATCTTGCTTCAAATTAATCGTAGAAAGATGATTTTGATTATATTTGAAAGCTAAAAATGAATTCTATAAATATATGAAAATTTTAGGTTTTCATATATCGAATTCATTGAACTGTACTAATTAATATATTTCCATTCAACTTATTGTTGTTGCGGGATCCCTTAGCGCAAAAATCGCGCGATCCCGTACCTAAAATTCCTCTACATAAGCTCTCCCTATTGACTTTCTTCACAAAGGCACTTACAATAATCATTACATGGACTGTGATTGCTTTTTAATAGTTTCATCTCTATGGATGAGCACTAACTTGTAAGTCCCAGGCTAAACATAGCTCAAGTAAATCTAGTTCCACTGTGTCCCACAGGCAGGTGGCAAGAGGCAAGCTTCTTACTGTGTGAGATTTTGCTCAAGTGGGCTTGATATCTTGCTCCTAGGAAAACTATACCCGAGTATCAATATCTTCATTCTCTCTGGTACTGGGAAGAATATTTAACTTTATGGTGCCTCGGGAGTTGGACAATTAGTCACATCTTAGAAGTGCTAAGTAGTACTTATCCTTGTAATATCCCAATGACTACAAGACAATTTTAGATAGGGCTCGATGACAGGACAGTCTTTTGACAACAAAAAGCACATAGGTGAATCGCAAGGAAGAATTCTTAAAGCTGCTGTCAAAAAGATAAAAGAATCAATTAGCAAGTTCAGTAAATCATCTCCTATATATGCGCGAAAAATGGGGTCTAGTAGGCCATCATAGTAGCCAGTGTAGGCTGAACATATTGCCAACCAGTGGTCACTCGATGAGGTTGAGATCTGGCCAAGTAGGGACACTACGCCGATGTCTTTCGACTTCCAGACAAGGAACAAAAACTGTCCCAAGAGCTCAAGGAATGATGATTGAATGACTTGCACAGATGCCATGTGGCTCAATGTCTGGCAATCTTCCGCATTGCATACTTATTACTTTCTTTCCACTTTGTGGTCAGATCGTCGAGTTTATCTTTCGATATAACATGGTAACTCTCGTCAAATCCATATTTCTTTCTTTAGATATTTTCGTAGGTCTGGTCTTGGACATAAAATCTCCCTGGTTCCAAATAGTTACGATCTCTAATCCATATAATAATGACTATTTTGGATCTTTCGGGTGGTCTCTTAGGGGATGTTTTTCGTTCTCTTCCCTTTCTGTCCTCGCTGAATCATTACTATATTGACTTGACTTCACCCCTCTTCATCATGTCTCCAGCTTTGTCTTTTACAGTTATGTCTCGGCAAGCAATTCAATTGTTATGGAAAGAGTAATGAAATTAATAGTCTTTGAGGAGTAAAGGAGTCTTTGTATTTTATAGACTCTTATTATCCTGTTACCTCGGAGACTGGCCTTTCCAACATAGTTAACTCTGCAGTAATTGAGTTGGCTAAAAAGCAGGACTATGCTATTCAGCCTTATAACCAGGGAGTTCATGACCCACTAGACCTCTTTCTCCCTTCAATAATTGCCTTCCTGATTATCTTCTTTCGGGCCCATCATCAGCGTATGCAATCTCCCCTCCTCCTCCTCTCCCCTCCTCTCCTTACCATTTCTTAAATTTATGCTCTCCTTCGATCTTCCCCTTTTCTCCTAACCTACCTAATCCTCCCAATAGAAGCCAACCTTCCTCTCCTTTAGTTAAGGAAAGGAGAGGAGGGGAGATTGCATACGCTGCCCATCATAACAATGCCTAAAACTTTTATCCTTGATAAATGAGTTGTGTGACTTGTGTCTAGTGGTATGCTTTGTTTCTATATAGCAATTATGACAATGATCATTTAGCCATGACTTTTCAAGGAGAGAACTTTCAACCAACAAAATTACATGGCTAACCCGAAATATCTATTACATTAGGATCGTTGTCAGCCTCGGCCACGATAGATATATTGGAACTTCGTCACTAGACTAAACTACCTCTATTATAGACATTGTGCAGAATGCAGTGAAGCCGTGCGAGGCCCTGTTGGTAGACCCAACAAATGGCGAAGGAAACACTTCACGCTGAAAAATATACGTTAATCATCTTCGGCAAAGACTTGAATTTGCCGTCAATTTAGACATACCATACGCTCTACATCTGCCTCTGAGGTGTCTCGGAGGACTTTGACCATGGTTTCTAGATCGACGTCCGTTAACAATCAGTGCAAATCAGATCTCGAGGACTCCAAGAGCTCGCTTGGAGTCTGATACGGAAGAAGATATGTTCGGTGGTGAGCTTCAAAGCTCAATGCGCTACTGGGTGGTTTGACTTTTTGATGACCGGTTACGCAGCGAAAGATACTGGGAGTGTAGATGGTACGATCGAATGGCTTGAGCGTTGACTCCCAGCGTTGGGTACTAATTAGGGTAGATTTAGATGTCGTACCTGACCGGATTGCTTAATTTGGGGTCGAGATTTAAAGTTGTTGGTTTTGTGGGTGTAGTAGAGTTAAGAATAGTGCAGGAAACTATTTTAAAAGGAAATGAGAAAATTGAGGAGGAGAGAAGCCTTGAATAGCCTCCTCCCAGCCTTAATCGATACATGGAGGAGTGACTATACCGCGGCAGAGTGAATATAAGAATGATACAAGTAGTAGTACTTGAACTTTCAATCAACTATGGTTCTTCAAGGCCCATCTTTATGTCCTTGCCTGTTTAGAAACACTTCCTCAAAATCATATCTGGATAGATGCTTTTCCAACCCAGATTATAGTTCAAGTGAGACATGTACTGTAGCCCTTATCTGGCAGCTCTGTGATCTTAGTCTTTTTTATCGTCATTTGAATGTCAGCTACATGAAGACATGACATATAATGGCAGGCAATTACTCGACCGTGGTCCTGCTTCAGTAGACAAAACTATGATTCGGGGCGAAAGTACCGGTGCTGGACGTCCAGACTTTTCAGACTGGTCCAGTGGTGGGAGAACTGCTCTGTAGGATGAGGTTCGCGGTGACTGTCGATTCGTGCCACCGCTTGATCCTAGCATCAAACCCGAGATAAGTCATTATCTTCCGGGACATTTGGGTTAGTATCATAAACTTGCACTAGCAGTTAAAACAGGGCACATTATGAGAGAGAGTGGCTTTTACCGGTCTCGGTCAGCGTAGGAATTATTTTTATCACACACTCATATATTTGGAACATTGCACCATGTAGATTGAAATCGAAGCATTGCATTCCAACAACTATTTAGCAGCGAGTTGTGATTATATTATCGTCAAGAGAAGCGTTGACTTTTGGATGTGAAAAAGCAAGAAACCATTATATAGGCAGTGGTGCACGAGCGTGCGTATCCCAACCAATGGTTTCGAAAAGCGAGCGAATATCTACCGCCAACACTTCATCCACATCAGCAGTATCAGCATTGAACCAGCGTTCAATTGCACCCGTTACCCACATGTGTTCCAATGCAAGTCTTGCTGCACATGTCCGCGTGGTCCGTTGAGTTGCCGCAATACCAGTGAGATGACCGATTTCTACACCACAACCCTTCAAGGCAACAGGTGTAATGAAGAAAGGAAGAATATAACGTTTCTCTGATTCTGCTAGCATCATCTTGGCTGCATTGGCGACTACTCTGGTCATCTCGGCGGTCTTTGCAATCTTCTGCTGAGCTTCCTTCTCACGGCGATTGACTGTGTTTACCGTGCTCATAATGTCGGACAGCATTTCCACAGCTCTCACAGGGAGACGATTCCCCAGTCTTCCGGGCGGAAGAGTGTCGACATTCCGAATCACTCGGTCCAGTACAGCAATCACATCTCTGCAGCGATCAATCGCCTCGTCTTGAGCTTTGATCACCTCGTCCTATGACCAGTCAGTAAAACTTGATCTTCGATAACTATAACCTACCATGGGAAGGAGATACTGCTTACCAATTTCTTATATTTGGCGGAGAGACACGATAAGATAACCATACGACACTTCCAAGAGTGTTCAAAGGTATACGTGGGAAATACATCTTTGTTGTATCTAGCGGCTGCGTCAAGTGCATCCACGAAGCTCATAAGCGTGAACGAGAGTTTCACTATAAGCGACTTCTTTGCTGGAGGCGCATCCAAACTTTGTGAGGTTAGATCAAGAAGACAAATCGGACAGATAGGAATGAAGGTGGAGGGTAAAGGATATGGCATACTCATCAGATCCAGACCGCTTGCGAAGAACTAAGGACATGGTGTATGTTGATCGGTCTTGTAGAAGATTCTGGGATAAGACTAGATCGAACGTGAACGGGTTACAGTAAGAAACCGATTTTGTATGCGTCTACTGTAGGTTACGATGGAGGGTGACGCAAAGACAGTGGTGGTGATAGTTGATATGGTAAGATCGAATGCCAAGTGTACTCTTTGAGGGTAAGGACAGGACAGTACGAGACTGTATGCGATTGTCTAAACGATTGTGACAGGTATGAATTCGACGTCACCAATCCGAGTATCGTATCTGTTGCTGGAAAGCAAGGCAAAATTGAAAGTAAGATCGACCTTCAGGGAAATAATGTGGAGGTTGAGGAAAGAAGAGGCAATCACAAGAGCGAAGCGATCCTCAAATACCTACTCTCCTCGAGATTAAGCGAGAAGGCGAGGAGCAAAGTGAATCTCGCACCCATGCAAGCCACCCTAGCGGCAATTTAGGTTGAGTATTTGAGATTAGATGGAGTGGATTTATGCTTGAGAATTGCTAGATATGTTGTACTGTAACATGGCCATGAACATCCAAAATATTTGCTCAAACTTTCAGTTGAACAAAGGCTTATATCCTACTTGAGTAGTATAGGAGCAACGTTGTCAAATGCACAATGTTTTGGCCTAACATTTGCTGTACTTAGTGAATAAATTAGATGGATGCCATACATTCCTGCCCATCCAAGCAATGGCGGGACGACAGCATATGAGCCTCAGCCGCCTTGGTTTCAGCATGAGATGTGTGGATACCAGCTACAGAAGCTTCTCAGTAAGTGCATAGGAGGGTTCCTTCTCTATGACCGGAAATGGGAATTGGTATTTTAATGTTTGCTTTTGATTGAGACAATATTGACTTTTCGAGAAAGAAATAGATGGCAATTTTGAGAAATGAGTAAGTGCTTATTATCTATACAAATGGTTATTCTCCAAAAAGCTTTACAATTTGCATGATTTTCAGTGTCTACTTGAGTATTTCAAGTCAAAACAATGAAATGATGGGAGCGGCCATTCTTTTCCATAGCATAGAAGTTACTCTCATAATGATGAATTTGGAGAAACTGATAGTATTTGAGCTATAGTAATCGAGAGGACTATACTGATAGCCATAATCAATGTAAGAAGATTGATTCAAGCTTATATTGAGAATATGCCCGATTTGAGACCAGTGGAGGTATAGTCAAGATGAGGCACACTACTCGTACTGCAGAACAAATAAAACATTGGCCCTTCAATTGGAGACTTCACTCAAGAATTCATAACTTCAGAGCGACAATTGTAGTCCATTTTAAGAGAATTCTCATAGAAACGACACCAAGAGAACTAAGGAAGGATCCGGAGTTGAATCGCTTCGCGAAGCTTTTCACAAGCTTCAAGCCTCGCCAACATCACCCATCACCATATCAACCCCACCTCAGTTCCTCGATAAACAAAACAACCTAAATCACACCAACCATGGAGCAAAGACAGAATATCGAAGGTGCAGCTGCACCATTTCCCACAAACCCAGAAGAGTTTGATTCCGACGATCGCATATCATTTTCGAAGCTCGATCAGAAATTCTTACTGGTGCAAGACGATGGCACGGAATTCGAATTCGACGATGCGATCAAACGATGGATACCAGTATTAGATGAAGCATTATTGGAGGAGCAGCAGAAGGCATATAAGGTATCCGGGGTAGATGAGAGTGAGCCGGTTGATGCTATGAAGAGGAAGAGGAAGAAGGAGTATGTTAATGGCGAGGAGGTAAGTCAATTTTAGGCTTCATGCATGTGATGGAACCATGATTGTGCACCCATTACCGGTCGCTTTCAGCGTCTTGATATCTATTCATATTTGTTTTGATATGCGAAACATATCCGGAGCTTATGCAATTGTCTGCATCTTTACTCCATCCTTTATCATCAATGCTAATTCTATCTAGGAGGGGGGCCGAATGGTAAAAGCCCCAAAGAAAGCTAAAAAACCTCTACCACCACGATCAAACACTGCGGTTTACGTTACTGGTCTGCCATCGGATGTCACTGTTGAGGAAGTACACGAAATCTTCTCACGAAAGTGCGGTGTTATCGCAGAGGAGATTGATAGCGGAAAACCAAGAATCAAACTTTATACGGATGAAAAGGGAGTATTCAAAGGCGATGCTCTTGTCGTATTCTTCAAGGCGCCTTCTGTGCAGATGGCGATAATGTTATTGGACGATACAGATTTTAGGATGAAAGGTGGCTCTTCTAAGGAGAGAATCACGATGAGGGTCCAGGCTGCAGATGCAAGCTACAAGAAGGTTCAACAAACGGATGCGGATGGCAAGGAGAAAGAGAAGCCCAAGACTAGCATGAAGGACAAACAGAAGATTATCAAGAAGACGCAAAAACTAGATGCGCGGCTGGCAGATTGGAGTGATGATGAGCCATCGACTCTTGCGGAAACCAGCTCGAGATGGGATAAGGTCGTTATATTAAAGCACATGTTCACCCTACAGGAACTAGAAGAGGATCCAGCTGCAATACTGGATATCAAGGACGATATCCGAGAAGAATGTGGCAAGCTGGGTGAGGTAACAAACGTGGTGCTATACGATTTGGAGAAAGATGGAGTTGCTAGCGTAAGGTTCGCAAACGCAGAGTCGGCGAAGGCATGCGTTAGGTTAATGAATGGGCGGAAGTTTGCGGGCCAAGAGGTTGAAGCTCATATCACGGATGGAAAGGAACAGTTCAAGAAATCGAAGAAAAAAGCAGATGATGAGGAGCAGGTAGTGCCAGAATCGGAGTTATTAGGTGATGATTGAGGAATCTGATTGTATTATTATTCTACCGAGCTAAGAATATTGGCTACCGGCATCGACATAGGTCATCGGCATTGGTATGGTATGGTATTGATCAGTGGAAGTTTGGATGCAGTTGTATTGTAATGATATCCTTTTTGATAATACACAGCCGAGTATCTTCCTTCTTGCCTGACACTATGAGTAATTCGTACCAATGCTCCGGACTAGAAATTCTTCCCAAGCTATCCAGGAGCTTCCCCTGTTCCCTTCCTAGCCGTCTTCTAGAATAATACCTGAAGAATACTAGCGTCCTGCTCTGCCAGCTATCACGGGAGAATCCGATTGCTTACCAAATCCACATTAAATCCGCGTACCTGACTTGCGAAATTATTAAATTTATTGTAAGACGACCCCTTTTCTTCTTCACAAAAAGTGAAACCTAATACACAAATTCCATCCCTTCCCATCCCATCATGACCAAACTCCTCACCTACGGAGCCATCTTCGGTCTCCTCACTGCCCTCTACTACTTCCTAGATTCACATCTCGAATCCTTCTACATCTTCTCACCGACCCAACTCCACGATCTCTCCCAACGTGCCATTGGTGCTCATGGCAATGATACGGCTCAAGTTGTAAGGTACATTGTAGATGAATTGAGCGAGCAACATCCGGGGGGTTATATCAATTTGGATCAGGAATGGATTTTTAACAATGCGGGCGGCGCCATGGGTGCCATGTATATTATTCATGCGAGTAAGTTTCGGGGAGTCACGCGTTTGATGTTGTCGAGGGGTGGTAAGGAGTGCTAATGGGTTTATAGGTGTTACGGAGTATTTGATTATTTTTGGTTCGTTGTCTTGTCTATGGTCTGAAGTTATGGAGTTGACTGGAGATACTTACTGTGAATAGGAACTACGATTGGTACTGAAGGTCATACTGGTCGTCATACGGCTGATGATTATTTTCATATAATTGCTGGTACCCAATTGGCCTATACACCTGGATCCTTCGAACCGGAAGTTTACCCTCAAGGAAGTGTCCATCATCTTCGTCGTGGTACTGTCAAGCAGTACAAGATGGATGCGGCTTGTTTCGCTCTCGAGTATGCGAGAGGTTGGATCCCACCTATGATGGGTTTTGGGTTTGCGGATGGTCTGACTAGCACTTTGGATTTCCCAACTTTGTGGAGAACCACTTGGGTTACTGGTAGAGAGATGGTTTTGAATTTGGCGAGGTTCAAATTGTAAGGGGGTTTGCCTATTAAAGGCATTGCGCTGGGGATATAGAGGGACATAGGAGAGGAGAAGATTTATAGAGCTCTTGTGAGCAGATGACACTTTTTTGTCTATAGATACTTAATCTTGTAATCATCTGACATGCTGTATCATGACCTATCATGCATGATCGAGCATAGTTTTCCTTAGAACTTGTTCACCTTTTACTCACAGGAGAGCAAACCTTATGATCAAAGTCTTCGATCTCCATAACCATGGTAATACCGATATTTATACACTCCAAACTCCCCATCAACCTTTTTTGAGATATTTAGTCGTCGTCCTCATCGGATCCATAATCTACCAATCCTAGGCTTTTCTTGGGAGGGGGTGATGGCTTCTTGACTACCGCCGGCTTAGGTACTACCGTTGAAGGCTGCGTGTCCTGGACTTTGGCTGAATCTTTAGACCTTGATGACTCAGTGCTTGTCGTGATTGAGGTAGACTCGTCCTTTGAAGGCTTAGAGATCTCCTTGGAAGGGGCAGGAGCTTGGTTTGCGGAAGACGAGGCTCTCCTAACCTTAACTCCCTTCAGTGCTTCCTTATCCTTTGTACGCTTGCGCTTTCGACCAGTAGTACCCCATTCATCCTCCCGCACTGGTGAACCCTCTTGTATTTGTGTTCCATCATTTTCAGCCGCTCTCGCCTTCTTGTCTGCCTCTTCTTGTTGTTTCCTAAATAAATCCAATCCCTCCGCAGTTTCCTTCTTCACTCTATCTTCTTCCGCCCGCGTACTTTCTAATACCGAATCCAAAAATTCGATCTCATCTTCATCTAGCGATCGGAATTGATTCTTGATTTTATTGGCTTCATCGAATGCATCTTGTTTGGCAGCTGGTACATTCAACGCACCCCTATGTGATCAGTCTAAGAGAATAGTGAGTTTGTAGGTGTAATGGTCCTAGATATATACCTTTATTTGCTTCTAGAATCTCGAATAAGCTCTTTCCGTCTTGTTGTCTTGCTTCATTGGCTTTTCGTTGTCGATTAGCTTCTATTTCTTGTTGAGCGACGAGCCATTCATCACTGCGCTCAATTGGAGCATCTGTCGTTCCACCTGATACAAATCCGGAGGACATTGTGAAAATGGTTGTATGGCGCGGGGATAGGTATCGAGTTGATAGAGTTGTCTGGGTTCGTGGAATGCACCTTGCGCGCCGCGCCGACCAGATTCCTTGGTGTCACGTGTGTGTTAGTTTCCACTCCCCGCTTTTCACCAAGGAGTAATCTCGCAATCTAGAGTCCAGGACTGAAAATACGAGATTCAGGCTAAAGTCTTCGTCCTATTTCACTATAACCCTTGCAGTCTCTTGCAGTCTCTTATCACGTAATGCGGAAACCAATATTTGCCTCTTAAGTACGGAGGTAAAGCTGCTTTTCGAGCTTTGATGGAGGTTTCTCCTGACATAGGTATAATCTCATACGGAATTGTTAGACCTGATTGGCGCGCATGTTAAAACAATCTTCGGTTGAATTCAGCCTGAAGTGGGATTGCCCCTCCATGCTCCACCAAGCAATATAGAACATTCTACCAGAGCCCCTCATGGTGCAGCGGAGTATCTTTAGAAGTTTAGATGTACGAATCGACAAATCGAACTTCTTGATATGGGTTAGATTTACCCGGATATAAAATATTTTGTGGGAATCTCATAGATTATCGTCATCCGGCCTCAAATAATCTTTATGCATGGATTTCTGGGTCAAGCAAAGGTATAAGTATTCAACTTCGCCCTCGTGGCTAAAGTGTTTTCTCTCTTCTTCCTTTAATTTTATATTCAAGAACATCTAACAATTCAAAAACCGTAACAATGTCTGCAAATAACATTACCTCGTAAGTGTTCCACAATCAACCCCTTGATAGACATTCACGTCAAAAGCAGAAGTCTGCGCAGACTGGCGACTGTCACATCCCATTTTAGACCAATTCGTACCCTAAGCTCACACACCATACCTTTATCCAGAAAGACCTTCACACTCAACACTGGTGCTAAGATTCCAGCTATTGGTCTCGGCACATGGCAATCTCAGCCCGGTGAAGTTGGAAAGGCTGTAGAGATCGCTCTTCGCGGAGGTTACAGGCATATTGATACAGCTGTAAGTTGGAGACTGCATTATAATGGCGTCGAATTGGGTTCTGACCGATCATCAGCTTGCATACGGAAACGAGGCAGAAGTTGGTGACGGTATCAAAGCATCTGGCGTACCAAGAGAAGAGATTTGGTTGACTACCAAACTCGACAACCCATGGCACAAGAGAGTCACGGAAGGAATTGATTCTTCCTTGAAATCACTCGGTACCGATTACGTCGACTTATACCTCATGCATTGGCCATCATCAACCGACCCAGATGACTTAAAGAAACACTACCCAGATTGGGACTTCATCAAGACATGGCACGAAATACAAAAGCTCCCTGCCACTGGCAAAGTAAGGAACATTGGTGTATCAAACTTTGGGATTAAGAACTTGGAGAAGCTCCTCAGTGACCCAGGAACCACAGTATGCCCAAATTTCACTCTCCGCCGATAGTACCTTCATTCTGACTATTATTTAGATTGTTCCTGCCGTAAACCAAATCGAGCTCCACCCAAATAACCCCTCCCCCAAGCTCGTTGCATACAACACATCAAAGGGTATCCACAGTACTGGTTACTCTTGTCTCGGTAGCACGAACTCTCCTCTGTACAAGGACCAGACCTTATTGTCCATGGCTGAGGCTAAGGGGAAAACCCCACAACAAGTACTACTTGCCTGGGGTCATGAAAAGGGATGGTCTGTCATTCCAAAGTCTGTCAACAAGGAGCGTATCGAGAAAAACTTCGAGCTTGATGGTTGGGAGTTAACGAGCGAGGAAGTTGAGAAGTTAGACAACCTGAAAGATAGATTCAAGGTTTGCGGTGATGATTGGTTACCTATTAAGGTTTTCTTCGGCGATGATGAGTAGACGCTTTAGTTGTTTGTAAAATTGAGATATCACGAAGTAAATGAATTTGAAGCTCCTCATGACCAACCTGTAATTTGTACTCCTGAAGACGTGTCGTGTAATGACTTGCCTGTGATTCCTCTGGGATTTGCGATGAATGGCGCAAACCTTGCCACGATGAATTTAATGAACGATCTCATAATTATTCTCGTGGAATACATACTTATACATAATTGATGGATCCTCAAAGAAAAGTCCGGGGTACTTTTATAAAGAAGCAAAGTTGCATCATAGCCTCGGCAAAATCGCAAGTTCCATCCCCAAGCTCCTTCATCCATCCACAATTTACTACCATCAGCCAAAGCTCATAATGCGCATATCACGATAACATCATTATAGCCCTCTCGAAGGGACGCCGCAATCACCATGACTTGTCCCTTCTGCAGCATAGCATCCAATTACCCAACATCCTCGTCCCTCTCAAACCCAGATCTTACCTCTCCATCAGCATTCGTAGTCCTTAGCACACCTCTTTGCATGGCATTTCTCGATATTATGCCGCTTTCCCCAGGGCACTTATTAGTCACGACTCGCAAACATAACGAGAAGATATCGGATGTGAGTGAAGAAGAAGCGCGAGAATTGGGCGAATGGCTTCCGAGACTATCTCGAGTTTTAGCTAAGGTCACCGGTGTGTGGGACTGGAATATCGTCCAAAACAACGGTGAGTTACCCCGGGATTTGTTGTCTTGGAAGACCCGGCACATTTAAAGTTTAGTCTGGTTGGTTTGGGGCGTTTGGTGGAACAAAGGAACGAAGAAATCGATGCTAATTTTGGGTTAAATATAGGAGCGGCTGCAGCGCAAGTGGTACCGCATGTACATTTTCATATTATCCCGAGACCGGGGCTAACTCCTGAGTTACGCAATCGATCGTTTACGATGTTTGGGCGGGGGCAGAGGAGTGAACTGGATGAAGAGGAGGCTGAGGTGCTAGCGGCGCAGTTGAGAGAGGAGCTAGGGAGAGAAATGGGAGGGACTGGGAAGGGGAAGTTATAGAAGGAGAAATAAATATACCAGGAATTTATGCGAGACTCAAATAGAAGACTGAGATACCCGGACTTTGGGACTGTTGACTAATGAATTAAAGCGGAAGATCGCCTGGGAGACAAAGAGATGTACATATGGTTGGGACCGTTGGTTGGAAGTACAAGAACGGCTTGCATCTACTGGTTGGAGGCAATAAAATGCATGTTTTAAGCTCTTCCGAGCTTTTCACAACACACTTGGGTCTCAGATCATAAGATAACACCCACTTCAAGAACTTCGATATATGGTACGGTAGCCAAGGCCCGAGGAAGTAGCGACTAAGCAACACCAATCAAGGTGAACAAAGAATACCCCACGAAGCTTCAACTTCATTTCTGGCAGTTCATCTTCAAGGACTAGTGTTCATCAATAATCCTCTGTTGCATCTTGTCTGTGGAAGTTGAGCCGGGCCTGAAAACATTTGGTTCCTCGTGCCCTTTCCAGGACAGCTTCTTGCTTAGACCTTGTATTGTTCATTGATGTTTCTGATTGTCAAGAATTTGCCTTGTTCATTGTTGACTGCATCCTTCCAAGGAGCTTTCGAGCACAAGACTGGGTTGGGCCACTGACATGAGGGTTCTGCAACTCGATCCTCTGTAGATCCAGTGTATTTGAACAGGGGAGTCTTGACCCTGCTCAACTCATGATCTCAACACATGCGCCCCAGTGGGTTTTGAGCCATTTGCCTCCATATTATCCATATCATCCCTTAATATCTGAATTTCAGGGCATTCACTCCCACACAAGCTCTATTTGAGTCTATGTGAGTCTATATTGGACTATTAAGCATCATTTGACGGAATAAATGAAGATGGGTTGGAAGGCAACCTATTGACCTAGCCACATTCCAGGTAATTCGCCGGAGAGTTACCATATTTGTGGCGAAGAAGTTGAGGTCTTCCACATCCAAGATTATTTCCAAGATCAGGAACAACTGACAGATGCCAAGATCAATGTAAATTGTTGGCTTAAACTTGTTGTGGCAAAAGAGAAAGTATTGAGACAACAATAGAGAAGTATCATGCACCGAAGAGTCTTGGGATGAATTGCTCTGAAATTTGGCTACCTTCCAGGAATGTGGGGAAATGTAAATAGAGATCAAGTCAACAACAGACGACACTTGGTAGATGGAATAGCTCAGCAGAGACTTCAATTGCAACAGGAACTATCATTCCATGAATTTTCTATTACGAGAATATTTCTAGGTCCGGTCAAGCCATATTCTAAACCAGAAGTCTTGTTATAAATTTCAAAGGCATGAAGCTTTCTTGGTATTCAATAGGTTGGAGAGCCATGTGGTGTCTACATGCCGGCCATATGATATCCCCTCATTGAAGAATCAGCTGTGATGATATCTGAGTGAAGAATTGGTAGTCATGGTCCATTCTTTAAGACTTTGTCAATATCTAACCAAGGCAGTGGCGATTATCTGAGGCTCTAGAATCCAGATCTCTATAGTGATTTGTACTTTCCTAGACCGCATGATGATATTCACAATAAGAAAGAGCAACCTCAATATTACAGTAATATGGTACTACTATCAAGATTCACGGACTATAAGACATCCGCCTCGGGATCAAGTAACACCAATTTCAGAACTCGATACGTCATTACCACATCCAATCTCCATTCAAATTGCCCTCATATTCTCCCATAATCTCCCAAAAGTGAATCGATTCAATCGAACGTCCCATTAAGCTTGCTGCCTCAAATTTCCCTTCCATCTCTAGCCTCAATTAGGGAATATAGCCGAGTAATCTCTCAAAAGACGGCACACTGTTATCAGAAGTCCACGTGGGAATTTTGGGAATATAAACAAACCTTCAACCGTCTTCCCCTCCTCTTCTTCTTCCAAAAACATTACACTCTTTCCACCAAACCCCAAATCTCTTTACGAAAACCACAGTCTTTACCAAGCTCTTCTTCTAGTGCTTGTTACCTAGATATTCTACAATTCTTCTACGTTTGTTCCTATTCACATCTTGCCGATTTAACAGAGTCACATAAATCAAATTTCCATATCATCGCCAAGATGCGTTTGCAATTTGCCTTTGCCATGCTGTTTGCCCTAATGGTAACAGCATCACCAATCACTGAACTTCTCCATCGAATCAAGCGCCAGATTGTTCAAACTTACGATGTTACTGAAGTCACCTACAATTCTAAAGGAAAGGCGGTTGCAACAACCATCCTTCGTGTCACCACTACCGTCTACCCTTCTACTACCTTGGCACCAGTTCCAACTGCAACTCCCACTGACTATGTTTCGACTGCTTTGTATCACCACAACATTCATCGTGCCAATCACTCTGTTCCTCTTCTTAATTGGAACACAAGCCTTGTTGCATCCGCCCAAGTTCTTGCTGCAACATGCAAGTGGGGTCACAGCATGTGAGTACTTTTCTGGGTCACTCTTGTCTTACCAACGCTAATTTTTCTTTAGGAACATCAATGGCGGTGGATATGGACAAAACATTGCTGCATACGGTTCCACTAATGCAAAGGCTCTTGGTGCTAATAAGGAGATGGCTGTCGCTGCTACAAACATGTGGTACAATGGTGAAGAACCCACATACCTTCCTTCCTACTATGGCCAGAATAATCCGGACTTGACCACTTTTGAAAAGTGGGGGCATTTTACTCAGATGGTTTGGCTTGCTACCAGATCTGTCGGTTGTGTTACCCAACTCTGTCAACCATTGGACATTTGGCCAAGTATGCCAGCTTGGTATACTGTCTGCAATTATTACCCACCAGGTTAGTTCCTCACTTCCCTCTCGATCTCAATTCTTGCTAACTTTTCTCTCAGGAAACATGGGTGGTCAATATGGCGTTAATGTCTTCCCACCACTTCGCCACCCCACTACCAACGTCGTCAATGCTTAAGCAACTGATCTGACTTGGTTTGCACATCACCGGTTCTTCGACACCTCAATGCAATCATTTCACTTCTCACGAGTCCACGACAATCTTTCCTGCAATCGTTCATGCGTTTCATAAAAGCACTGTTTATGTGTTTCCATGAATTTACGTCTAAATTTCATTTTTTGCGGCAAAAAGCAACAACATGCCTCATCCACCTTTTCACCAGCCTCTTTTATCTCAAGAAGCTATTTCGCCTTCTCCTTTCATCTGGAACCAACTCCGATCTATTCAACACCCTTGTATCCACAATTTCCGACAACAACATCTGGCATGTTGACTTGTCGCGTTCATGTTTTTCGTCACAGTCTCACCTTGTCGACCACAGATTTCACGGTACTCTTAGACTTACATGGATAGATTTGATCAGGTCAAGATCTCTTATCTTTCTTTTTCTTTGCAGCTGGGACAAGATCATATAGAGAAGGGAGCTTGTTCGTCGGGTAATTTTTTTTTCCGCAAGGGTTTATGGATTGATGATAGATAGGATAGGTTGGGTGGATGGATGAATCGATGGATGGTTATTTGTGCTTATTATTATGGGGTGCGGTGTGAGAAAAAGTTCCATGGATGGGAAGTGGGCTACGATGAAGGCATTTCTCTGGTAGTTAATTGTTTGGGCGTACTTGCTTCTCAATGGTTTTATCTAACTTGACTAGACTTGACTAGACTTGATTCATTGTGATGTGATATGATGTTTACATAGCTGTAATAATTGGTCTTCGTTATAGTTGCTATTATGTTGATATAGATATCAACGGAAAGCAGAACCTCCCATCATAAACAAATCTTGTGACTACCTACTCACCGGTAACAAACTAACTAGTAACCTCCACTTCACGCACTTCATATCAGCACGTATTACACATTATGTACATATGTGTTCCCACACGACCAAAAAGCGAAGCCGAAGCCGAAGCCGAATTCGAGTGCGAGTTTGAGTTTCATAAATGAGTTTTATATTCCTCCCCTCGTACTAATTACCCCTCGTACCAGTTACCCCTCTCGTACTAGGTAGGTACTTTGTACCAGGTAACTCAATGCACGTCAAGCTAAGGTAAAGTAAGGTAAGAAAAGAGAAGTACAAATCGTACATGTGGATTTGTCGACCACCAGATCGACATTCTCAAACTGTTACTCGGGACACTTGCTTGTTGCGCAGAGTTGATTTGTTGGTTGCGCAGCGGCTTGTTTTTGTATCTTGTGATTGGGTTGGGATGGGGATGGGTATGAGTATGGGTACCTATGTATCGAGAGGGGAAAGAATGGGTTGGATTAGGTTGGGATATTTATTAATGTCTGCGGGAAATGATTGATGGCTGGTATTTGGTGTGTGTATTTTCTTCGTTATAGACTTCTAGCTAGCTTAAGGGGTTGATTTCAAACAGAAGCTCTTGAGGTTATAATGGTGTTTCGATTTGGAAGGGGAATGAGCTGGAAACTGGAGTGCAGTGAAGGTAATTATGGTGGAGGATACCGGTATGCGATGAGGGAGGGGCACATGGTTTGTACTCTGTTAAATGTTGGACACCAACTAGATGCGGAGATAATGTGATGGAAAGTTGACATGTCAGATGTGTGGACAGGATACAGAGAAAAGGGAAGAGAAGAGAAGAGAAGATGATATATTGGTCACAGTGTAGTGGTGCAGGGGGGGAGTTAAGACTTATAAGGAGGAATGAGCAGGCTAGTAAGGCAAGGTCATTTTGAAATATCTTCTGGTTCGAGTACTTGGATTTGGTGACGTACTTGAAGGTCATGACTGGTGATGATGGACGAATAATGATGTGATGTCTTTAGCTTTACATTTACTTGACTGATGCAGCATAGACTTTCTCCGCCTTAAGTGTGTTTTGATTGGGGTGGATTTGGAAAGTATACTGTTTCTCCGGTTGAGCGTGAGTTCGTTCGATGAGGTGAGACAGACTATGTATAATTCTATTTTACTTCTTAGACTTGTCACAGATGATCAAGACACATAAGAACCATTGTCAGAAGAGTAGGTATTCCATTCGTTTATGAATCCTTCCTAGCAATTCTTACCCCCGTACCATGCATGCCATACATACAGAGCGAAGATGTTGTGGTATCATATGTCTCTAAATAAAAAAGCACTTTTCCCCACTATCTGCCCACACCTGTGCACTTCCATTTCATTTTATTCCAGTCTTTTCTCATTTAGACAGAACCCCCTTAACAGCTCCGTGGACAATCTTCCTTCCCTCAATCGCAATCTCCCCGATTCTGCTCTCATCACCACTACCCTCCACAAGCCAGCGTTTCAACAAATCATTGCTTTCCTTGGGTTTCACGTCATCTCCTCTGGTACCGATGGTGATGTGTGCTATTTCGTTGGTGCATTCCCATCCGTTGTCGACGATTCGGGCTACGATGGCCATGATACGGTCATCCCATACGATCTATCTGTTTTAGTTTCCGTCTCGTTGAGTGAGTGTTGAAAGGGGGTAGACATACTCTCTCTAGCATAACTTGGCATTCGCCAAATTCGGTTCCTGCGCTCCATCCATTGTTACCACCTGCCTCTGCATGCATATCACTGTATCTTTGCCATAACTCGGGATATTGTTTGGAATTGGCTCGATGGATAAGGGTGACATGAAACTCTGGCTGAACTCGTTGACTTTGTCCTAGTGCTTTGTAAAACATAGCTTTACTTGAAGATACACGACCAAACGCATCGTCAAGTGTCTGTTTGATATTGTTTCGAGGGAGAGAGATGGAGACGTATTCTAATGGTTTTTTCTTCTGTGTGATCTGTGGTTGCTGTAATTAATTAATTGCCAAGGTCAGCGTTATTCGAAACGTTGTACGTTTTTTGGTATTTGATCATCATGTTCTTCATCATCACGTACAGGTTTCTTTTCCTTCTGCTGGTTCCTATTGTTGTTCTTAGGCGGACCACGGCCAACGTCATGTCTGAGATCTGGTTTGTAATCGCTCAATGCTACTTGAATGGCCTCATCAAGGTCCTTGCTCGTAGGTAAATCTGTAAAAAGCTTTGGGAACTGTGCTGAAAGCTGTCCGACAACAGTCTCGAGGTTCTCTCGTGAGTCCTTGGTAGGATCAAGGTCGATACTACACTCAAATCCATCATCCGGTGCTGCATTGATATTCAATGGTTCAAAACGGTGTACAAATCCTTCCATGATACCCACAACCTTCTTCGTATCTGTTGCTGCTTGCAGAGTCTGATGGTTGTCACCGCGTGCAAGCACTCGATCCTGGGTAACTTGTCGGACTTTGTCAGCATTCGCTCGATCATGAACGAAGTTTAGGGCAATCAGTCGAACGTGTGGATGCGTAAGATGGACATCTTCAATTAATTGTTTTCGTTCGTGTCTCGAAGCATTATTTCGATCGGCAACAACAACAGATTTTTCTTCGAGCTGTGTCAAAACTTCCTTGGTGAATCGAGGTGGACGAGCTTTTCCTGTAATATTATCATTCTGAACATGTCCCCAACCAAAGAGATGCCCAAGAGCAAGCGCAAGAGTTGTCTTTCCACAACCAATTGTAGCAACAGGAACCAGAATGATATTGTTGCTCACTTCCTCCTGTGGGCCTCCAAGTTGGGAATATTCTAGGCGAATGATATCCGAACCTTTCAAGTTGATTTCCTTTAGGAAATCGTTTCTCAACTTAATGATGCCATGATTCTGTGCGTACTCTTTTCCTAAATTAGAATTCTCGGCAAGACATTTTCGTGCGAAGAGAAGATATTCTTCAGTGATCTTAATATGCTTCTTGAAACGAGGTGCTTTTCCAGAGATTAAGGTTTTTGTACATTCACGCCATTGTCTATACATAAGATATGGCTCCTCGAATTTATACTTGAAGAACCAATCCGAATATGTGCCCGTTGAGTTGGGACGAGCCTTGCATCGAATAACGAAACCCTCGATATCACGTCCTTGGTAAGATCCACTTTCAGCTACTTGGTCTAGGAAAGATTTTGCGACTTCAATGTCATCCATTACCAGGAAATCGGTCTTCTTGAAGCCCCATTCGGCTGCAAAGGCTTGAACTTGGTCACCAGGATATGTCATAAACTCCGGAAGATTGATATTAATACCATGGAGGTAAAGCCCTGCATCCTCTTTACCATAAGCTAAGATGTGCTCCTCGAAGTCATCATCACAAAGTTCAGCCACGGCAGTAGCGTTTCTTTTTCTTAGCTCTCTGGAGAGCTCCTCACGAGTTCTCCCGATGGCTTGGAGCTGTTTGTCGACCCATCTGTCCCCGGCTTTTGCGTGGCTCATTTCTGGTTTATTTCCTTGACCGGTAGAATGCTTACTACAAACCAATAGAGTGCCATCGTGAAGTCCGCTAATAAAGACAATACACCCATTCTCCTTGAGACTCAGTTCGTAAGGACCTTTGGTGTTATTTTCGATATTTGTCCATTTCGTAGCTTCGACCTCTCCCGTGTTGAAGAACTTATCATAGCCACGAGTTGCGATCTCTTCCTGATCTTTTTCATTTTTGCTGGTAAAGAGACCTCGAGCGTATGTTGGTAAGTCATGACGCTTGTAGTCCCAATCTTGAAAACGCCATGACTTGACAACAAGATTTGCAGGAGATCCATCGACCTCAAAGGAGGTTTCCTTGCAGCTAAAACCTTTCTTTTTGTCTTTGCTGTCATGGAGGTTTCGAATAAGTTTTTGGACTTCCTGTACATCCTGAGATGCAAAAGGAACATCTCCGTGCCTAGCCATTATAACAGAATCTTTTTTTCGTAACTCTGAAAGAGTAGAGTGATTTGAAACGAATAAAAATTGTGATATAGGTATGGTAGATGGGGAAGAGGAGCGGCTTTTGTGTATGTGTATGAGTATACGAGTAGATGAAAGAAATCTTTGATTAGATAGTAGTCTCAGTCTCCTAGGTAAGAACATGAAATAATTTAGGTGAGCTTTGTTTGTCCTTTTAAAAAGATAAGATTTGAAGAAGGAACGATCGACTAGGCAATCTTTCTACTCGAGTAGACCTTTTTTGTTCGAAATGAGAGTCACACCGTAAAGTAAGTAAACTCGAGATATTGAAAAAGCGCTTCACTTCACACCTAATAGGGCTGAGAATAAAAAGATAAGTACTTATGGCGGCTACCTTAGGTTAAAGAGGAAATCGGACGTCGGCAGATGCGGCCGCCCCGACATGAAAATCCTCCCCTCCCCTCCTACATTGACCACAAAACAGGCAAATTTTGAAGAGAAGCGCAGCATACTTGGACACTTACATTCCACTGAAGAGACAATAATACGACATTGAGCAATTCCAGAGTATACGATGACTTCAGCTCAACCCAACCCTTTGCTTCTCGCTGCCGATAATTCTCCAGACCTTCTACCCCTCCTTCGATCGAACCCTGCCCTAGCTTCCGCCCAAGATGAACACGGATATTCTTTAATGCATGCCGCTGCTTCTTACAATCATTTGGAACTTCTGCGAGCTCTTGTCACAGAGTTTGATGTTAGTGTCGATTTGAAGGATGAGGATGGGGATACCGCATTATTTGTGGCGGAAACACTAGATTGCGCAAAGCTACTGGTTGAGGAACTACATGCAAATTACAAAATCAGGAGTGCTGAGGATGGGTGTAATGCAAGGGAAAGGATAGAGGCAGAGGAGGATTTTCCAGAGGTTGCGGTATATCTTCGAATTAAGGAGCTTGAAGCCGAAGGAGGTCAACTAGTATTAGATGAGACAGCCTCCAGGGAGACATTCAACGGCCATCCGCCACCTATTCCGGAAGGACTTTCAGTCGATATTGGTACTATGAATCCAGACGAGGACGTAGGAGAGGTTATAGATCCCGAATTCAAAAGACGTATTGACGAATTGGCTGCTCGAGACGACTTTCAAACACCAGCGGGCCAGGAAGAATTGAAAAAGCTTATTACAGAGGCAATTACTGGCGAAATGGGAGAGGGACGAGAGGTTCGTCAACGGACAGAATGATTCTACATCTATTCTACTTCCCATAGAACATAATCGTTCGGGACATCAGGCAACTTCAGTATCGTACAGCTTTTGCTCTCGCCATTCCAGCTTTCAGTAAATCCGCCAACATAATACGAAAACCAAGAATTTTTCGGCGATGCAAGTAAAGTCTGGATGAAAGTGCTATGGGCCCAGAAAGGGGAAATGAATCCAATCCATGTGACTTTCACCAACTCCTCCGCTGTCTCCGAACCTTCTGGTGGATCATAACGGGACAAAAATCGGTCGATATTGTCAGTTGAGTTGATTCGGGGACTTTCTAAAGAAACCAATGAAAGCCACTCGTGAATTTCGACAGCAAAGGCCTGAAGGTCTCCGTTATCATTGCTATTGTTCTCTGCCGCAGGTTTGAACGCAGATCTTTTGACTCGAATTTCACTCAATACTCTTGGAGTACACGTTATCTCATGTGGATGATGTGGAGATAATGGATCGGATGGTAGTACTGGCGAGAGGGTCAGTATTGCAGTGGGAGGGTGTATGTAGATTCTCACCTGTAGCTCCCAGGTCACAGAATAGCCATGTCACAGGAGTAGTCAATACATTCTTGAATGCGTATTCAATCCTTTTGAAGCCATTCTTGCCATGTAACATTGATGGTAGTCGTAGATTTATCTCCACAACTATGAATTGATTAGCGGTTTTATCTTCATAGCTAGTACAGTACATACTCCATCTAGGTCGATGTTCGCGTTTTCCCTTGACCCCTTCCGGCTTGCCTACTAATCCTGATCGTTCATAACTTTCCTTGTCCAAATGTAAGGTCAAAATTCCTATAAGGATGTCAGTAGATGCCATGTGTCGGTACTTCGATGATTTGGGACCTCACCCTCACTCAACGTAAACACATTATCAACACCTATATTCCCCTTTGAAAGCATCAAAACATTCCCTAAAACCCTATAAGTAATTATAAAATTCTAATACCTTCACGTGCCATACCTTTCTTGACATACTCCGTAAAAAACTCTCCCTCCAGCAACGCACTCAACGGAAGCACAACCCTTCTATAAACCGGATTTCTACTCTCCGCCAAAACCCCATTCATCTCGTTCTCCATAATCTCATAAAGTTCCTTGGGCAATATCATTTCAACCTTGTTGATAAATTTATGACCCAAGATATTCACAAAGGGTTTCCTCTTCACAGGTGGCTGTTTGGGATCCAAATGACCCATGGTACCGTGTGTTACATAGCATTTCTGCTCATGCTTGGTATCTTTAGGGAAATTCAACATTTTGATGCGCTGGGACTTGTTAAGTGAGAGATGGACAAGAGGGAATTTGAGGATTTATTTTGATAGAAGCTCTGTTGGGTTTAGCGTGGGTGGCATGGACCAGAACACGCTAAATTTGGCCCTTGTAATTATTTTTGGAGGGTATTTTTTGCAGGACAGTCACGGCACGCAATATTCCAAAATATATACAGGCAATTTTTGATATCTGTGTTGAGACTCCGCCTTGTGAGCAAATCTTTGTACAAGGCTCGACCAGATACTTTTGCTCGTATGCAAAGTTCGAGAGCTTCATAACTGTTTGTCTACTCGCGCTTCACTGAGGCTTACCATACAAGTGTAGTGGTTTGTAGGCAGGAGCGAGACGAGAAGGAATTCGGCTTGACCACTGGAGGAAACCAACCAAAGCATCAAAGGTTCAGAATGAAGTGTTTAATCAGATTCACACAAACGCACGAGACGTTTCGTCTCGCCGAGATTCAGGCCCTAGCAGAGCTTGAGAATATTCCTTTACAGGTTGAACACTATGTTTCACATGTAAGTGGAGTCTATCATCAAATTCATCATTGCCCTCAATTCTAAGTGATTGATAGTCACCATTTTGTTTTGTAGACGTTCCGTCTGCAAAAGCAGCTGCACGACTGGTGAAGAGAAGCATTCTCACCAAAGCCATTTACGAAGTTTGGGGAACGGGTCCTACGTATGAAAAACTTCATGATGATATAAAGACGCATACAACAGAACAATGGCCTGTTTACAAAAACTGCTCTTTCAAATTTACAGTGGATTGTTTTCAAAATACGAGATCAAACGCCCAGCAGCGAGAACTCATCAATGAGTTCCGATATCTGGAATTCGAGGGGCCAATTAAGATGAAAGGAGCAGATGAAGAGTTCTGTATCTTGGAAGAATGGCAACTTGATGCTGCTGCTAACGGTTTGAAAGAACCTTCACAAGTCATCTTTGGCCGATTTCTCGGGGCTAGCGAACGAGATATTGTGGGAAAGTATGATCTCAAAAAACGGAAATATATCAGTACCACCTCTATGGATTCCGAACTTGCTCTGGTCACTGCAAACATCACATTAGCAGCACCAGCAAAGTTATTCTATGACCCGTTTGTCGGTACGGGTAGTTTCCCAGTTGCATGTGCACATTTCGGAGCTCTTGCGTTCGGAAGCGATATTGATGGGCGAAGTATTCGAGGAAAGGAAAAGAGGAATCTACATTCTAATTTTGTGCAATATGGACTTACAAATCAGTTTGGAGATAGTTTTGTGGCGGATCTTACAAATACGCCATTAAGATGTGCTAGACTATTTGATGGAATAATATGCGATCCACCTTACGGTGTGCGAGAGGGGTTAAAGGTACTGGGGAATAGGGATCCTACTAAGCCCAAAGTACCGATTATGTTAGAGGGCGAAACGCAACCTCATCATTTGTACGAATTCTCTGTTATGAATCCTCTTAAGCGTCGATGCTAACGAAGTCGCAGACAAGAAGCTTATGTTCCACCCAAGAAACCATATTCTTTCCTTGCCATGCTAGAAGATATTTTAGATTTTGCGGCCATCTCCTTGGTAGACAATGGCCGTTTGTCGTTCTGGATGCCAACGGCAAATGATGAGGATCAGGAAATCAAAATCCCAACCCATCCTTGTTTACAGATTACAAGTGTATGCACACAAGCATTCAACAGATGTAAGTACTTTCTCCCCAAGCGAGTATTCAGTTACTAATAAGTCGTAGGGTCAAGGAGACTTATTACATATAAGAGGATACCGGACTCAATGATTGATCCTGAACAAATCCGTGAACGGACTGCTAATAGTACGGGTGTTACTGCAGATGAGTTAAATCCCTTTAGAAAGGGATATTTCCAAGGCTTTAAATCAGCCTTTAGAGATACACCGAAATAAAAATACTTGATTGCATCAACGACAGAAATAGTAATTGGATAAAGTACCTGTGTTTGTTTGTCCTACCTTGTTGCCTCAGGAACATGCACAGCTGGATCCGGCAAAACCCAATATTTCAGCCCCAAGCCTGTGTCTCAAATAAACAACATCGGTTTTCAAAATAACTTTAGAAAAGTATTCTCTGTCCGTCATACCATACTCCGTACACACATTTCATACATTTCATACAAAGCTCATTCGTCCGCACAAAGTTGTGTCCGTCTAAAGACAGACAAGACGATGGGGTCCCAAGCAGAACAACACACCTCACTCACCAGCCGAGGAAACAAAACATACGATAGATAACCCCAGTCCATACCTGCCTGTCCATCTGCATGAACCCCGAATAAAAACTACCGTACCTCCGTACTATAGAACACATATATATTTTTTCTTCTTTCTCCCACAACTCAAAAGTATTGGTGGAAATGGATGATGGGTGCACAACAGATCTTGAGAACGAGACAAGCCCATTCCCACCCACCATTGCATTGGGTGCCACGCAATACATACATACACCATACACACACGGAATAGCTAGCAACTTCGTGTCTATTTTTCGTATCTATTTTAAGGAACTTGCGTTTTTGTGTATAAATTATGGTAGGATGTGGAAATTTGATATGCGGGTTTTTTATTTTATTTTATATCATACTGATATATCTTTATACCTATCCTATTTGACTTCTCTTTCTCTTCTTCTTCTTCCTCTCTCTTCTAACTTGCAAATACGAAAAAGTTTTCTGTGCGTTTTTTTTTACGATTTCGAAAATTGAGAAATTGAAAGAATCACGTTCGTTGTGTATTCAGACTTATTAGTATATTTCAGATATGTATACCAATCTTTTGACGGCGGCTAGTCTTAGTCTTTGTGCTGTGGTGCTTGCGGGACCCCAGTTGGAGAGACGGCAAGATGTGGATGTGTAAGTTTTTGATCTTCATCTTCAATCACTCTTCAGCTCATCCTTATCCTCCCCTCCACCCTTCACCCCCCATCGCTCTCCCTAATACCCTCCCCTCCTTCCCCTCCTTCCTCCACTAATACCCACCCCCCCTGCCTTCTAGCTCCGCCATCGCCTCATCCCTCTCCTCTCTCTCCTCCGCCCTAACCCCCAACCCCTCCATCGCCTCCCAACTAACCGGCATCCCCACCTCCATCCAAGCCCTCCAATCCTCTCCAGCCGGACTTTCCCAAGTAGCCCAAGAATTCGCCACATCTATCCCTGCCTGGTTCCTCTCGCTCTCCCCCGACGCCCAAAGCTACGTGATCAACGCCGGCGCTGCACGCGAAACTGTCTTTAGTCTCGAGGCTTTGTTAACTGGTACCGGTGGCGCTACCGGTACTGGTAGCGTCACCGCGACTCCTACTCCTACTCCCACTCTCACTCTCACACCTACATTTACAGGCGTGATAAATGGAACGACAGCAACGCTAGTACCGCTCGGTACAGGTGCATTGACTACGGCGAGTGGGAGTGCAAGTGGAAGTGCAAGTGGAAGTGGAAATAGTACAGTAACAACGAAAAAGCTGTCAAGCACGACAGCATCAGAGACGATATCAGAAACAGAGACAAAGACAACAGGAACAAGTGAGAAAACGACTACGAGTGGAGGAAGTGGAGGATCGACGGCAAAAGCAAGTCCGCTTTCTAGTTCGAGTAAGGCGGGAGCGGCTCAGGTGACTGGGGCTGTGGGGTTGGGGTTGGCGGGATTGGCGGGTTTGGTTTGGGCGTTGTGAGAGGAGAGGAGAGGGGTTAAGGGGAGGGTCAGGATTGGATTGCATTGGATTGGTTAGGTCGGTTGGGTTGTGGATATGATGAGATGAGATGTGACGAGGAGAAAAACTTTCTGTCCTTTGTGTTATGTTTGAGGGTTGGAATGTGATTGTTAATGGGTTTCAGTGGTGGAATAATTTGATGTCGGTGACCGGCCAGAATCGAGTTGCTTTAATATATCCTCACTTATCTTTTACTATGCCATTAGTTAAGCGAGTCCTTACCTTTGAGTGCTATGACTTCGGCGGCTTGTTTGAGGATTGAAATGTACAGAAGGTCAAATTGGCGAAGGGAATGAAGTGACAATTTCATCCAATTATAATTCTATTTGTTGATGAAAGCTTTTGTATTATGTTTACATTTGGCAAACTCCTTCCATTAATTCTTCCTCTTGCCATCAAGATCTGAATAGAAGTTGTATCCAAAACCTGCACTAGCATCATTGAACCTCAACTTTCTATCCAACCCATCTAACTTCTTCAAATCTTCAGCATCGAGTTTGAAATCTCCCTCCAAGTTGGCCTTTATACGAGAAGGCGTCTTTGATTTAGGAATGACAGAGTGGTCATGTGCAATACCCCAAGCTAATGCTACTTGTGCTCCAGTCTTATTATATTTCTTACCGATTTCAACGATTGTTGGGTCATCCTAAGCACATATTAGTAAAGCTTGGGATATTCTGGGATTCGGAATGATCTTACCATCAACTTGGGAATATTCTTTCCACTGTCATAAATCTCATTCTGGTTTCCGAATGGAGAATATTGTGTGATATGAATTCCCTTACTCTTATTGAACTCACAGAACTCCGTTTGTTGTAGCCAAGGATGAAGTTCCAATTGATGGGCCGCAGGAACCACCGAAGTCTCCTTCAACAAATGCTCCAGCTCGTTTCGGGAGAAATTGGAGATACCAATCGCCTTGGTCTTTCCAGTCTTGATAAGCTTCTCCATCGCTTTATAAGTTTCAATGTATGAGATATCCGAAGTCTGCATCTTTCCATCCACCTTTGGCATTAATTCGTCGCCGGACTTGAACGCAGATGGCCAATGCATCAAGTATAAATCGACATAATCCAAATCCAAATCTTTTAATGAAGCATCGAGCGCTGGTTCGATATCTTCTGGCTTGTGCTTATTATTCCATAATTTGGTTGTGATGAAGAGTTCGGATCGAGGAATGCCTGAAGCCTTGATGGCTGCACCGCATGCCGGTTCAGTGCCGTATACTCTAGCCTTAAAGGAGTAGCGAGTTAGCATATGTAACATCAATGACGAACAATCAGCTATCCCAGGCCAATACGTACTGTATCAATGTGTCTATACCCCGCCTTCAATGCCTCCAAAACTGCCTTCTCTTGAGAATCCTTATCCTGCCAAGTACCAAAACCAATGGCGGGAATAGTAGCCCCAGTGTTGAGCTTATGGTTAGTGATTGAAGCCATATTTCGTTGTTGAAGTTGGGATGAAAGTTGTGATAATCGCGAAGATGCTTTGAATGATGAACGTAGAGATTGAGAAAACATTATTGATATAAAGGAGACGATTAAATAGAAATTTACCTACATTTCCACAATACTTACTCCATTGCCCCTCTCTTTGTCGCCACCGAAACCGTGACGTAAATGCCATAACTCTCCACTATCATGATGGGGGTTTCCCTTATTCCCACTTTTCGAGGATTATTTCAGGGTTCGGGACGGGCCAACTATTTTGCGGGTGAGAGCTCACTGGAGACGAACACATGAGAATTATGATGGCCGATTGTTATACTTACTATATGAATCTTTTTTGCATGAGATTTTTCAATAACTATACCACAGACTATCGAGGATATTTCAGAATTAGAAGTTAATGAATAATAAACAATAATGGTTTTGCAATACCTCGTTAATCTTCACATCACTTCACCTCTTCACCTCCATCTCCATCTCCATCTCCTTTCATTTTCCTCATACGAGTATCATCAACACAAGCTTAACCTCAACCGCATGAACCTCAACCCACACCACGCTACACCTTTCACCACCGAAAAGGTACACGTACAACTCCCTTGTATATCATAAAAACACAGTTTTGAATTTCTCAATTGAATACTTTCTTTACTTTCTATTAACTCTCAATGGAACCAAACATCTCCCTCCCTTCTTACAATCCCCATGCCCCATGCCGCATCCTCATCCGAGCAATACGACGAAGAACAAAATATGCGCCCAAGCTAGACTCCCGCAATGCATCCATTCATCCATTTCTGGCTATCCCATGTTTTCCCTAAGAGACATTCAAGAAGCAAAGATATCCCTTCCTTTCGACACGGACAGAAACTGATCATTTCCTTTCTTATCCTCACTATCTCTTTTCTTTTCGCCCTTGTCCAGTCATCTCGATTGCCGAGGATATGAAAGACCATCTAAGCTCTCCCTGCGACATCTCCACCCTCCGCCTGCCCATTCTCCATCGTTTTTTCCATGGCCTCCAACCCCTCAATTTCTTCCTCTTCCTCTTCTTCCTCTTCACTATCATCTACTTCGTCTCCATCGTCATCCTTAAACCCACTCTCGATTTCCAACTTCCTCAAGCGCCTTCTCATCTCATCCCTCTCTCCATTTTGCCATCTGATCAAAGCCGCAGGCCCATGAAACTTAAATCCATAAATCCGTGGTACATAACGATCATAACTTTTCGCCGGAATCATTGCCGGGTAGACTTGGAACAAAATATTATGAAACGAAGTGCCGAAATACGCGCCATCGATTGCAGAGTGTCGAGAGGATTTGGGATTATAAATATCTTCACACCGAGCGCAGTAAAGTTTCACGGCTTTCATATTTGGGTTGTCGCTTTGGCCCATGGGAAGAAGTGGATGCGATTTACACATAACTCGAGGGCATTTTCCAAAGTCGGCCTTCTTATATTTCTCAAACTGAAAGAGTTTGTGGTTAGCATAGCTTTCTGGTCAAGATGTACCAGGCACTCACCATTTTGGCCAATCCTCTGGTAGTGACGATATAACGAGCATGAACTAAACCATACAAATGTCTTGCAGACTTCTCAATCGTTTCTCTCATCTCATCATCACAATCCAAATCAAAGACATCCGTCACTAAGTCCAACGCATATTGATAATATTGAACTTCGGTTTGAAGTCCCGTAAGGTTAAATCGATCAGTGAGATAATCTTCGTCGATTTCGCAAAAGTATTCATTACCCCGAGATGAAATAAACTAAAGAAAAACCAAGTATTAGCAAATGTGCCCTTCCAACGTATGTAAAATGATATGAAATATGGCCGAGAACCCCTGTTTTATAAGGAAGGCGCAAGTAGCTGGAGTCGGATTCGGACTCGAATGGATTTTCATATTGATCAGCGGCTCCAAGTATACTGTGATCTGATTCAATATCGGGCGCAGGATGCCGTGAGGGTAATCCAGTTCTCGCTGTTGTGTTCGAGGTACCCCCAGGGATCGCTGGATGAGCAATACGCATGTGTTCCATTGCTTCGACTTTTCCGCGTATATTGCGGTGGGAGTCAGAGCCTAAGCGCGCTGCAGTCTCAAGATCATCGACTTCTGCTTCTGATGCTCGGCGTTTCTTGCCTCTCTTGCCTTTCTTGGTCCGTCTGGGTGGAGAAGTTGGTAGAGGTGTTCGTGATGGCGGTGATTCTGCATACGGAAGGACATCTGCCTGGTTCGGACCAAGGTTCATTGTGCGTGATTAAGAAAGTATATCAATCCCACCATCACAAGGGTCGGTGAAATATCCTTCTCGAAACGAAACCGCAAAGAGTCATCTTCGAACTGCAGTTTCCAATCAGGTTTATCGAAAGTTTCCTCCAACCCTTCCGGTATATCGATGTCTTTCCTTCCAGTTGATATTAAAGCTTTTTCGTGGGGAGGTTGGGGTCGGGGTCGGGGTCTGGGTCGAAAGGAAGGAGCGAGTTCCCTCATCCAGGAAAGAGGAGGAGGAGCGAGGCGCACACAATCATATCAACCTCATAAAAAAATATGAAATGGCAAATCAAAAAGATTAAATAAATAATACATACCCAATCTCTCCAGTAGCTTGTATAATCGCTATCGGTTTCGCTATTAAAATCGTCCATGATAAATGTCGCTCGAAGTTACCTATAGCATGTGCTTTCGAAGCACTTGCTAGGTCAATATTTGCGACGGAGACGGATGAAGTTGTGCAAGGCTGATGTTGTTGTTCCTTCTGATCTTAGTTTGGTGGAGGGGGTGGCACAAAAGCGGAAGGTAGGTAGGTGCACGGACAATTTTATCTTTTATCTTTTCTCTCTCAGGAGCGAGCCCCTTTATCAATTTTTGAAGTATCTTAAAAGAGTTACAGATTCAAAATTCAACAAAATACTCTTAAACTTGATTCCTTGTTGATGAACAACAAAGTTGTAAGTCATTTAATGTAACCTTACTCATTTGTACCTTGATGGGCCAAGTGCCATTTATTCATTATCTTGCAGAGATTATTCCAGTGAATGTATACACGGGAAGGCCTACACAAGATATAAGAAGAGAGTCTCAAAGTTTGCAACCGACATAACTCAGGCAATCACTGAAAAGTTAAATTCACACACTCAAATTTTCAACCTCATTTTTAAATTTTCTATCATCTTTCTCAACGCTGATTTAGCTGTCTATACAGTTTCGCTTTCACTTGAGGGATTTCATGGGACCGTTGTTGGTTTCAACTGTGCCTCAAGTATTCACCATAAGACCCATCTCTCGCTTTATCAGAGTTTTATTCCTACTCCAATCTCTCTTCCTAGATTTCATTCCCCTTCATCACATCATCAGGCAACATTATAACGCCCAAAAAGGCAACGAACGTCCCTGCCCCCGCCAAGAACAACGGCGCATTAAGACTTATCACCAGTAGTCTCGCCGCGATCATAGGACTGAAAATAGAGAACAGTCTTCCCCAACAACTCGCCATTCCACTAGCTGTCCCTCTCACTGATGCGGGGAAAGCTTCCGGTGTCCAGCCATATAAGACCGAGTTGAACATGGACTGAAAGAAGTATTCCATGACGCTCAGTCCTACGTTGGCTGCTTCAGTATCGATTGCCGAAAAAAGAAAGAATGATGTGGCCATCAATGCAGATGAGAAGATCATGGAAAGGCGTCTTCCTACACGAGGCACTCTTACCATAGCAGCTCCTAAACTTACGCCTACAATACCCGGCAGATATATGATGACAAAGTTGCGGTAAGTCTCGGCGTACCCAATCTTATGTTTTAAACCCTTTCGAGCCAAAATTGTGGGAAGAAATGCACCTTTCTGGACATTAGTACGTTCTTATACAGTCAAAACCAAGTAGGAATATATATATACCTGCAACGGAAAAACCCCAGTAGTCAAATGCGTATATCACCCATACCAAGATGGTGACTCGCGCCTTGCTCTTTGTTTCGAATAATATGCCAACTCTCTTAAACTCCCTCACAGTCTTTTGACGTAGAGTCAAACCACCGGGAGTAGCCCCCCCTTGAAGACGAGCGTTACCAGAAGTAGCCGATATGAGAGACTGAAGGTTCTCAAGATTATCCAATGCCCTGAAATCGTCCATGGTTATGGTTAAGGTCTTCTTATTCGTCCTCGCAATTACTTGCAGTACTTCCAGAGCTTCCTCGTCTCTCCCTTTGCTAAGAAGATATTTAGGTGACTCCTGAAAAGTAAAGATGAAGAACCTGATTATGAATATGAAGAAAGATATTCCGCCCAGGGTAAACAAGAGATATCGCCATCCCATATTGTCTTCTCTGGCACAGCATTCAGTTCCAGTTGCCAAGTCCTTTGCTTTGCATGATGGGAGGCCTATCGCGCAAGAATAATTTGGTATAAATGCGTAAGCTATGCCACTGCAAGCTACGACTCCAATCGGCTGAAAAATCGACAGAAGTGCCAAAAGAAACCGTTTTTTCTAATAAACAATATTAAATGTTGCTCTCTTGAGATAAAGTCGCGTGGGGCCATACCCGAGGAAGAAATTCCAGAGCAATTGTTGTGTCTATCGGAATGTTTCCTCCGATACCAAAACCTGTAAATGCAACCAGCACAAGGAGAACTTTATACGAACTTGGTGCTCCCATACAAAGACCAAAGGCCGAGGTAATGAAGACCGTACCATTGAAGGCCCATTTGCGACCTAAAAGATAAAAGTTATTAGAGAATGCAAGGTATTAATGAGCTAGACACTTACCAATCATATCCACCAGAACACCCCATACTAAAGCTCCAACTGTCAAACCTGCATTGACTACCGTGAACAGGCGTCCCAATTGCACATCTACGTATATTGATTAGCACAACCTTCGGTCGTCGTACAAATCCCCCATCAACCATTTTGTTGCGTAACCAGTCTTATCTGACACAGTACAGAAACCCCATCAAACTTAACTCTCTATTTTCAGCGATCAATCCGACAGAAAATAGCACATACCACTAATTCCCATCTCCGTTTGCATGACAGGTGCGATCAAGCCAAACGCGTGCGCCCAAAGAAGATCCAGAAAATACCCCAAGCCACATAAAATCCAAATATACCACTGATACCTCCCCATGCCCATCCTATCAATCTCTTCCGCAACCAACCGGCTTTTCTTTTCCTGTACAGTCAATCCAGCAGAGACTGGAGTGCTGTTTACACCCTCGTTGTCACTCGAGTTCTTTGACAATGGGGAAGTGCGGCCCTGGTTTGCATTGCCTATTGATATCTCAATTAGTACATCATATCTACATGAATATATCGATCAAGAAGGGATAGGTAGATTCTATCCATACTTTGACCCGCTGGGAATGTAGAGTTCTCAACCTCTCTAGTATTTGACTCACCATCCTCACTTTTCCCCTGCCTCAAGCTCGACGAATCCATATTTAACAGTGGAATAAAACTTTCTCTCTCTTGGTCATTAGCAGCACATAGTAAATCTTTTCCCTTTTTTTTCATAACTATCTTTGATGCTCCAAGAAACTGACTGCGCATGGCATACGTGGATATTTGTATGCGGAAGTTGGGATGTGGGTTAGGTCAGTTGATATGTGCCGGTATAGCATTGGGGGGGGGGGCGGGGGGGGG